ACTGGATATCTGGTTTATATTTTCCACAAAGTTTTATCACCGGATATCTTCAAAGTCACTCCCGTAAATATAGTATACCCTTCGATATTTTACAACTCGATTTTAAGCTTACCAACATTGTATTGGAACAAGAGGAAATTTCTGCCATGCACTTGAACAGTTTAAAAGTAGAAACTCAAGTTTATAAAGGTTTGACAGAACGAGATGATGGCATTTATATCCACGGGCTATTTCTATGCGCTGGAAGCATTGATTTGGTCAATAAATGTCTAGTGGATCCCATTCCGGGTAATTACTATCAAATTCAATCGTCGAACCTTGTATATATTTTATCTGCTATTGTTACAACCTTTTCAGAACTTGGTATATTAATATTTACGTAAATTGATTATAGGAGATCTGTATTCCACGCTACCTGTTATACAACTAATACCCTGCGTAGACATAGACGAACAAAGGTTGCGATACAATTGTCCTGTGTACAATACCACTGCTCGAACAGGTTTTCCTTCTACAACTGGACATAGCATGCCTTTTATAATTGGCATATTATTGCCGACAGACTTTCCGGAGAGCTATTGGATACTTAAGGGAACTGCTCTAATTACTCAAATATCAAATTAATTAATTCATAATTCCTTTTAATCTTATCATATCATATTGCATTTGATGTACGTATTTAAATTTAAAAAACAACTAATATAATGGTGAAATAAACGAGATAAAAAAAATCAATTGAAAACAAAAATTCGGCATTAAAACACTATCAAAAAAAATAAATCTCTGTAAATTGCAGTCTTTGCATTTTTAAATAGATAAAAATTTCCCATTCATAAAAAAAATTTCTGATCGTGGTATTTATTTTGTTATGCAATAAGTTCAAATATAGTAAATTCACACCAACATTATTGATTGAAATAAAAATAATAATTATAAACTAATAATTCTTATTTATTTATTTTTATCAATATCTAGGTAAATGTATATAAGTACAATAAATTATTTGCATCTTATCTAGATAAATTTTAAATCATCCTTATTCAACGCTATTTATAGATGTATTCGGTCATTCGGAACAACATAAAATTGTAAAATTTAACTAAATTATATTAAAATAGTATAGATATTATATTATCATCTTTATTTTAAACACCGATAAATCTGTTGTCTACCCTGAGGCCTAAGACATTTTTTAAGCACAGCCACTAAAAATACATTTAATGATATATTATGCGTTTTTTGGTTTTTTTAAAACAATTCACGAACTTGACAAGCAGACAACAGCAAACACATTAAAATTGCACTCCATTTTTCGAAAATCTATATTAAAATAATATAATACCTATATTTCGGTTTAGTAAAAAAACTATTTATTGCCAAAACTCAACGACACAAATAATATGTAAATGAATCCATATCAATAGATAGTGGTCAATTGATAGTGTGACAAATGGAAGTTATGTAATAGTACCTATAGTTTTTTCATGTAGAAACTTAAATAAGCATACATAGGGATAATTTTTACCCGCTATGTCTCGTATGGGAACTTACATTCATCCAGTAAAATGTAAAATACTAACTTAGTATAATAATTGATAACTAATTAATTTAAAACATTTTAAAAGTTGTAATATTCTGAATGAAGTTGACAACTTTTAATTTATAAACTACCTATGTAATAATAAAATAAATGGGTAACTGAGCTATTGTTCCAAGAACTGAGTGTATCGATTCAGATGTACCTACTTCTGGCTTTTTCCTTCATTTCATTGATCTGTATTTCGGCTTCATTTGGAACATGATTAGGGTTATATATATTTTATTATTTCACCATTAGATACATGAACTCTTCCTCAACATTTTTGTTTATAATGCACACACACCATCAAATGTTTTTTTCGGCTTATTACATTCACACTGATACACAGTAGCGTACGCAAAATTTTAGTTCAGTTGGGGTAAGTGATTTACATAATTTTTGCTAAAAAATTAAAATTATAACAAATTAAAATTTATAATAAATTAAAAATGTATTTTATATCTGTTAAAAATTAACAACAATTGTTGGTGTACCCTGTGTATTAAAATGGTGGTAAATAATATCTTTTTGTAAAAGGGGGGTCAAAACCCTAGAACCCTACTCCTGGGTACCTACGCCACTGCTGATACATGTATCCATCCACCATACACCAAAATGTTGGCACCTCTTTCACTCTTTATATATTTTAAACTCATAATTAAGTAAATTATAATTTAATACAATAAAAATGTTGACGAAAACGTTGTTCACTATCAACTGTCACGCGATTTATTATCCACTAGGTATCTAATATCTATTGTCTCGCGTTCAATTAACTACTATCTATTGACGGTATACATAATATGCAAATACACTGTAGACAGTATGGTCAACAAGAATAAAATACAATATTATGTTATAAATTATAATCAACATTTTGTCTGTAAAGTTAGACTGAGAACCACAACAAATGAGTATATTTTATTATTATCAAAATAATAACATGTAAATAAACCCGTCAGTGATCATGGGCGGACGGCTAGGGCGGCGAGTGGACGATCCCCGCTTGGGCCGGTAAAATTAAAACTGAATAAACGTAAAAATTGTATACGTAGTCAAAGAAATCAGCGGCATATTTATGGGGATGGCTGAGGGGGCTTCAGCTCCCCCCC